TTGAAGCCCGCCCTCTGAGAAATACTGAAAATATTGTTATAAATTGTAGCAATAAAGCTCCCCCTTTACCTTTTGGATGTGGCTCATGATTATTACAGTAATCTTGGGGGGAAGACTCGTTTAAAATAATGTAACCATCAGGTTTTATCCAGGTTTCTGTCAAACAGAGCACATCTAGGTTATGATCATCAATGGTCATGTCATATTTACAAAAAGTGCTTTCGTAGAAAGGGACCTGATATTCAATAAACCAAGCTTTATCATTTGTTTATCCGTATTACATCTGTTTTTTATTTGTTGAACATCAATTAAATTGTTACTCTTAAATTGGTTTGGATGTTTATTGTATTTTCTAGTTCGGGGAACAAACACAGTCTCTATATTGGGATATCTAGGTGAAAGGGTCTCTATGTGCTGAGAATTAACTGATTTCTGAGGCAGCTAGCAGACGGTCGGTTTAGCCAGACTGTCTGCTTCCTGACCTGGGCCCCAGTTCTCTTAAGACCATGTGCCATATTTCTAGAGAGAAGAGCGGCACCACCCCAGGAGGAATGAAGACCATCTCTTTTCAACAGGTCAGGTTTGCCCCAAAAACTTGTCCAATGGTCTATGAAACCTATGTTATTCTGCGGGCACCACTTAGACATCCAGCCATTGAGTGATGACAGTCTGCTATGTATTTCATCACCATGGTAAGCAGGGAGGGGACCAGAGCATATTACAGTGTCTGACATCGTACTTGCAAGTTCACACACCTCTTTAATGTTATTTTTAGTGATCTCCGAACATCATTAGCGCTGGCGTGAATAACAATCTTACTGAATTTACATTTAGCATTAGCCAGCACTTTTAAATGGCAATTTTGGACTATGGTGGCTGGTGTCTCTATTTTCACGTTCCGTCCAATAGAATCGCCAATAACTAGAGCACTTTGATCAGGTTTCTCAGTGGGTGCGTCACTGAGTGGGGAGAACCTGTTTAATGTTTTGATCGGAACGGAAGAGCGGTGTTTTGACCCGCGACTATGCCACCTCACAGTCACCCAGTTACCCTGCTGTGGAGTCTCTGTAACCGGAACCGAACAATGTACAGGACTCCCTGAGCTAGTCGCATCCAAAGCCGTATCTAGAGCCCTCACATTCTTACTATACTCAATTAAAGTTTGGATGCGTGTCTCTAATTCTGAAACCTTCGCTGTCAGCCTAACTATTTCCCTGCATTTATCACATGTGAATCCCTCGTCACCGACAGAGAGAGCTAAACTATACATGTGGCAAGCGGTGCAAACAACAATAGCAGGAGAAGAAGCCACTACTCACCGTGATTGATGAATGATTCTGACTTACCACTGTTGTTTGATGAAATCGAGAAAAAACAGAACGAGAGAGAAAAGAAACGGAGCGAGAGAAAAACAGAAAATGGCAATAGACGCGAATGGAAACGCAAATTACAAGCTAACCGGCTAACGTGCTGCACACGCACTGCACTCGCGGTTTTAGAATAGAAGCGAACGATCAAATTAATCAGATTAGTTTGATATATAATATCAGAAATAAGGTGGGAGTTAAGTTATATTTTATCACTTTAAACAACAGAGAGTGATAGTAAGATAGCGATTCAACAGAAAAGTGGAGCTACAATCACAAACCACTCTGCAGCACGACAAACAATCAAGCTGCCACTGATTGGCAGCTGTAGTGATTCTATTAAAGAGAGCACTCTTTGCTTGCTTTTTGTATTTAATCTATTCACAATTTGAATAAAAGTTTTAATAAATGAGTTTTAAGTACCCCATGTAGGAGATTTAATGCAGGTGCAGTTCGGGTCACAATTTTTAATGTTGGGTATAGGATTAAATTAGGGTTGCTGTTGGATAACGTGTCGGGTGTTCTGTCAATTACTGCAGGTGTGAGAAGTCGTGAACAGTCCAGACCAGTCGTGCTGCTGCATTCTGCGCATGATTGGAAGTACAGCCAGAAGGGCCTGGACAAGAATTTATGTAGCATGCTCTGTTGGGAAGACCTGACCTGCCTGATCGAGCTGTCTTTACAATGTGGTCAGCTGGTCATTAAAGAATAATTCTTGATGAACCTAGCTGAATGGTAAAATCATGCTGTAGAGTTGGAGTGGCAGGGAAGACAAAAAGCTCAATCTTTGCCAGGTTGAGCTGCAGGTGGTTCCTTCATCCATGCCGAGATGTTCGCCAGGCAGCCTGAGATGCATGCAGCTACTGTTGGATTGTCTGGTTAAAATTAAAGATAAAGGTGTGTGTCATCAGCATAGCAGTGGTAGGAGAAACCATGTGCTTGTACAATGGGTCCCAGTGATATAGTGAATATGGTGAAGAGGAGGGGTCCAAGAACTTAGCCCCAAGTAAACCCTGTGACCGGTTGATGTTCTTTGGATACCTCTCCTCCTCAGGAAACCCTGAAAGACCTACCTGTGAAATAAGATTCAAACCAGTGGAGTGCTGTTCCTGTGATGGTAGACAGGAGAATCTGATGATTTTCAGTGTCAAAAGCAGCAAATAGATCCTGCAGAATGAGAACTGATGATTTGGAATCAGCTTTCGCTATATGCAGGGCTATAGTGACTGAAAGTAAAGCAGTCTCAGTTGAATGGCTGCTTTTGAAATCTGATTGGTTAACGTTCAGTTGGTTATTCTGTGAAAGAAATAATGTAACTGTGTCTATAAAGGTGTGAACCAAATGGTCCATTCCATTAGTATAACAAAGGAATAGTATTCCTCAGGAACGTCTTGTAGATTGCAGGATCTCCAGCGGGTGGTCTTAACAGTATCTGTTGTTTGTAGCCCTTTTGTCTTCGGGTATAAAATTTTATCCCACAGACAGAACTTTGGGAGAACCTAACATTCTTACAAGGGTTAAGATTGTTTGAAGGATGGCATGCTAACATCGCTACTGAAGAACTGATACATTTGTGAGCCACCCAAACGACTGCTCAGCAAAATATAGTAAAGGTGATGATACATGGGGCAACTTTTTAGGTTAGAAGGGGTAGTATGCACTGGCCTGTCTAGACAGATATTAATATGGATCATAAAGTGTCAATTGCTGTATTCACATCCAGAGATGAGAAATGGGTGGGTGAGGGAAGAGAGGATGACACTACAGAGGAAAGATGGGAGGGTGAAAAGGAGCGTAAGTTTCGCCTAAAAGTAACTTGTAGAGGAATTGGCGGCACACAGGTAGTAAGATGTAGGTTAAATGTAATAAAGAAATGATCAGAGATGTTTATAGGTTTTACCAAAATGTTGTCTGATACAATTGCCTGTGAAAATTAAGTTGAGGTCATTGCCTGATTTGTTAGTGCTTGTAGTGGTAAGCCAGTTGAGCAAGGAAGCAAGGAGTGAGTGGAAGTCTGCAGTGGAAGTCTTCTCCAGATGGATGTTGAAATCACATTGAGGAAAAATACACTTACCTAGTTTATATATGTATATATATGATTGTATTCTTCAAAACAATCTTTTAATGTATTATTGGTAACACTTTAGAATAATGTTCCGTCATACTGTTTCATCAATAACTTCACAGGAACAAATAACTAATCCACTTTTAACATTCTAGTAACTACTATTAACTAAAAATAAACTCTGATTAACAATTTAGTAAGTAATAGCGCTCAGTTGAAACTGGTAGTTCACTATTAGCTAATCAATTACTACTATTTTTTTCATATATCCTGGAGAACTACTAAGGACTACTGTATACAGGTTCATTAATTAATGTGAATTATGCATAATTTATAATTAATTCTAAAGTGAAGGTCATGGTAACCCACTAGTAATGACTCAAGTACTAACAATACAACAAATAATTCTAAAGGAACTACTGATTACTGGGATCATAGGGATATAAGTAAATTAAAATGTTTTTAAAAGCAGTTTTAAATTGGTTGTTCTTCATTTTGGTTGATTCAAAATTTTTATTTAATGGTTGGATTATTGATTTATTCCAGTTCATAAAGTAATCAGATATATTTGAATATTCGTTAATGAATGTGATGAGTTCTGTAAGCGATTTCTCTGGGTTCTGTTTATAAAGTAGGATGTCGTCTGCATGTAATGATATTTTATGAAAATATTGTCGGATCTGTTATCTATAATATTGTCATTTTGTCTAATGGCTGCTGCTAGGGGTTTTATAAATTGTGCAAATAGTAGTGAAGTTATTGGACATCCCTGCATTGTTATAGCTGTAGTCACAATTCACATTTAAACAAATGGTTTTCTGTGACATGTTCCACAAATACTGTTCATCAAAACTTTTTTTATTTGCACCCAGAACTTTCATCTACGGAACACAAAATGACTTGTAAATCACTTTTCTCTCTCTCATTTAGAGGTTTCAGCTGGAGCGTGTTCGTCTACAAGAAGTGAAACGATCCAGCTATGAACACACCAAAAAGTGTGCTGACCAGCTTCTGCTGCTGGGACAGGTAAGCTACTACATGCATTTGATGAGTTTACATATGTCATTATAATACAGTAAAAACATTTGGCTTAAAAGTGGCTTTTTTATCGGTTTTTTTTAGTGCTCCTTTTTACAATATGTAATATAAGTCTCTGGTGTCCCCAGAATGTGTCTGTGAAGTTTCAGCTCAAAATATCCCACAGATAATTTATTATATCATTTTGAAAATGCCAATTTTGAGTGGAAGCAGAAACACGCTGTTTTTCGTGCCTGTCTCTTTAAATGCAAATGAGCTGCCCCTTTTCCAGAATAGAGCTGCGCCATTACAGCTCAGACCTGCTCAAAAACATCTGTTTTGGTTCTGATTATCATGTTTATCATACTGAAATCATGCGATTTAAATCATAATAGTTTAAACTTCTGATATACGGTTTTCTGAGTGCACACATCCGAAGCACACGGACAGAAAGCGGCTGTACTAAACTAAGTTCTCATTCACACACAAGTTTACGTTAAAAACACACGAGTTACAAAAACAGTCAGTTATGTCTGTCAAGGTAAACAGCTGGGAAATAAATCGCATGTATATTTTAGATCTGTGTGGCAGCAGCAATATACAGTAAATCAATCAATAAATCCACTGCTCTCTTCGACCTGATTATAGCACTTACCTGGAAAAGTCAGATTTTCATGATATGTCACCATTAAAATTTACTAATCATTTAGTACTTTTTAAGACAATATACTTATTAAAAAATATCACAATAAACAGTTCCTCCACAAAGTAAGATATTAATACAGTTATTTAATTAAAATTGTATTTCTAATCTAATTAAATGATGTGCAGATTAATTCATCTAATTAATCACAAATTAATTGCAAAATAATTTTGGCTGAAAAATTGCAGAAAGATAAGTCATTGTGTTTATATACCGAAACATTAAATAGACATTACAAAGAAGTTGCTTTAGAAAGAAATATATAATAACTATATATATATATATATTTATATATATATATATATATATATATATATATACACATACATGATGTATACATTATTTTTATAATAATATTTATATACAGAATCTGGCAGTAAGTTTTGGGAGCTCATTTTTAGTCAATCCTGCAAGATAGACTTTTCAGCATAGGAGATGGGCTAAAAATGAACTCCCAAAACTTACTGCCAGATTCTGGAAGATAAATTCTTCAAAAAGTGGTACAAGAGGATGTGGTGCTGGTCTTTCAAGAGTCACTCTCAACTTATCTGTCCATAAAGCCTATAAAAAATTTGTCTTCATGTATTTCACAATACTTCTGCATGTTATTCTTATTAAGTGAGGGTAATTTTTTAGGATTTTTTTACCCAAGCAAATGTCTGAGAACCTGACACCTTGTAATTCTGGAGACTCCAGGAAGGTTGAAGTTCTGGAAAATGGTGGCGTTGGAGACTAAATGGTTCCTGATGGTTTTACACCTAATTCTTCACATTAATTCTTAAATATTTTGCAGTTAACATGTCTTTTCTTCTCCACCTGTTTTTTGCTGACCCAGTGAGCATTTTGCAGTCCAATGGCCATGTCTTAACTTTGCAATTACTGTATTGCATTAGTTTTGAATATTTCTCATGGGGAATTAATCATTTTTGACTTGTCAGTTTGAGTTTAAACTCTTTTTTTGGCTAATTTTTCTGTAAAAGAAAACGTGCCAAATAATTCTGCACACCTGAATAGTCTATGCAGAAATGTAATCTTTGCTACATACAAGAACAAATTGTATCCACATGAATTTCGCAACTAAGTTTGTTCTCCATATGGATACCAAGATATTTGTAGGAACGTACTTGCTTAATTGATGTTTCATGTATAAACACTGGTGTGGTCACCTATGTATCTAGGATCAATGATTATCTCCTTTTTTGTATTTAAAATAAGATGATTTCAATCACACCAATCTACAAACCTTGATACCTCTGAGAACACATTCCTGTGGAACACCTGTGCTAATACCTTTCAGCTCCGATAAAGTGTGATTGACTCAGACCTGTTGGGTCCAATTAGTCAAAAATGAAAAATGCCACCTAAATAAAAAAGGATTCACATTCAATGCCTTCAATTTCCCTTAAGTCGCGGGGCCAGGTGCGACTGCACCATTTGCACCGCCCAAAGTACAGCCATGTATATTACGGGTGTAACCGTACACATATACAGTGGGGAAAATATTTCTTTGATCCGCTGCTGATTTTGTAAGTTTGCCCACTTACACAGAAATGAAGGGTCTGTAATTTTTATGGTTTATTTTAATGGATAGAGACAGAATATCAACCAAGAAATCAAGAAAAAACACATTATATAGGCCTAAATGTTATAATTTGATTTGCATTTCAGTGAGTGAAATAAGTATTTGATCCCCTACCAACCAGCAAGAATTCTGGCTCCCACAGATTGATTATGTGCCCATGTGGAACACAGATTAGTCCTGCCACTTTAAGAAGTTACTCCTAATGTCAGCTCGTTAGGTTTATAAGACACCTGTCCACACAATCTGTATCTTTCATTCCAACCTCTCCCACCACCATGGGCAAGACCAGAGAGCTGTCAAAAGATGTCAGCGTCAAGACTGTAGATCTGCACAAGGCTTGAATGGGCTACAAGACCATCAGCAAGAAGCCTGGTGAGAAGGAGACAGCTGTTGGTGCGATTATTCGGAAATGGAAGAAATACAAAACTAGGGCTGCACGATAAATCGCCTGTGATTGTCATGCGCATCTCGTCAGTAAATCTGTGATTAGTAGTAAATCTCCATCACGTGCTTTCAGATGGAGCGGCATTTAATACACTGAGCCATAGTTTGCGAACAAGCTACACAATATCGCATTCATAATCCCATGCGATTTATCATGCAGCACTATACAAAACAACCATCAATCGGCCTTGGTCTGGAGCTCTGTGCAAGATCTTGCCTTGGGGTAAGGATGATCATGAGCAAGGTGAGGGATCAGCCCCAAACTACACGGGAGGAGCTTGTTAATGATCCAGCAATGGACTGAAATCCTGCAGCGCCCGCAAGGTCCCCCTGCTCAAGAAGGCACATGTACAGGCCCGTTTAAAGTTTGCCAAAGAACATCTACAGTAAATGATTCAGAGAAGGCTTGGGAGAACGTGCTGTGGTCTGATGAGACCAAAATTGAGATCTTTGGCATTAACTCGACTCGCCGTGTTTGGAGGGAGAGAAATGCTGACTATTACCCAAAAAACACCATCCCTACAGTCAAGCACGGAGGTGGAAACATTATGCTTTAGGGCAGTTTTTCTTCTAAGGGTATAGGACGATTTCACTACATTGAGGGGCAAATGGACAGGGCCATGTACTGTAAAATTTTGGACGAGAACCTCCTTCCCTCAGCCAGAACACTGAATATGGGTCTTGGATGGGTCTTCCAGCATGACAATGACCCGAAACATACCGCCAAGGCAACAAAGGAGTGGCTCAAGAAGAAGCACATTAAGGTCATGGAGTGGCTTAGCCAGTCTCCAGACCTCAATCCTATAGAAAATCTGTGGAGGGAGCTGAAACTTCGAGTTGCCAAACGACAGCCAAGAAACCTTAAGGATTTAGAGAGGATCTGTAAAGAGTAGTGGATTAAAATCCCTCCTGAGATGTGTGCAAACCTGGTGACCAACTACAAAAAACATCTGACCTCTGTGCTTGCCAACAAGTACTAAGTCATGCTTTGCTTGGGGATCAAATCCTTATTTCACTCACTGAAATGCATATCAATTTATAACCTTTATACAGTATAATGTGTTTTTTTCTGGATTTTTTGGTTGGTATTCTGTCTCTATATGTTAAAATAAACCTACCATAAAAATTACAGACCCTTCATTTCTTTGTAAGTGGGCAAACGTACAAAATCAGCAGGGGATCAAATAAATATTTTCCTTACTATATTAGGGGTATAACGGTACACGTATTCTACACATAGTCTTTCGGTTCAGTGCACGTGTACTGAACAAAACATCAACTTTTTCCAGCAAATTTAAACTTTTTCTGTTTTGGCACTCTTTGATGAGGTGTGACAGCTCGCTGTGTAAACACTTCGGTTCTAACAGCAGCGCGGAGCGCGAGTGAGTGTGATCATTCATCCCCTCTCCTCTTTCCCTTTAGTTTTAACGTGAAGTAAACATGAATGAACATCTCATGCCTCGTGTAATCACACAATCAGTGTTTCACTCGCGGAAAGATGTGATTAAAGCGGCTTTTGCGAAGCATTAGACTAGATACTCATTATATTTTACTTTACCTGTTAGTGATATCTTAATCATTAAATGTATATTTAAATTAATCTTTTTATGAAACAAGTTATGACAGCCACTGTGTAAATGATTATATTTCAACAACAAATAAAAATTGTGTAATTTAAAAGTTAATTTAAAAAACTGCATTGAATGCAATTTACATGTTTGCATACATTTTTTTTTTTTTGAGTGTTGATTATTATATTAAAAAAATAAATAGTAATTAAATTTAAGTTTGAGCTCTGTTGTTAATTGTAACCTTATAGTAATGTAAAAGGGATCCCTATAGTTTAGAGCAGAAGCTGAGGTAGATTTTTATAGATTTTTGTTTGCACAAGGAGTCTGACAGCAGCCAGTGTTCCACACAGAGATCTGGGGCCGTATGTATAAAGCCGCTCAAAGTAAAAGTTTGGTCTTAAGTGTGTCAAAATTCTAAGAATGATGTAATTTTACTCTTATTCCTAGACTTAAGAATAAGAGTGATTCATAAAGGTTCCTAAGTGTTAAAAGAGGTCTCAGCTCCTAAATTATTTAAGAGAGCTGGAGAGGTCTCCTAACCTAGTTAGGAGTAATATGGCAGCAAAGAGGAGACGACAAACACTTTCCAGCGAACATATATTGGACTTATATGATAATATGGAGTTGATAAAACGATACAAACTTAATTGTAAAGATCAAAAAAAAAATTTTTTTTTTTTTTGTAACCGATTAAGTCAAAAATGTCAAT